TTAAAGAATAAAATAGATCTTTTTTTTAATCAAATATATGCGGGAAAATTTGGGCCGTCTTGGACCGGCACAATCTGATGATTGTTTGAGCCTTGATCCGCCACACGATGAGACATGTGGGCTCGATCTTCTGAAAGGTTTCGGTCACTTCAAGTTCAAAGGGGTTATATTTGGGCCAACACACACCCAAAAAGAGAAAGAAAGAAGAAACGAATACGTTAGACTTATTCAAAAGAAGCTGCTCTAGACTTGGAATTTTCTTCCACCTCTATTCAAAAGAATTTATCATCTTTTATAGATACGACACATGATACACGTCTTTGCCCATCTAATCATGACTCAATTTAATAAACAAAACATGTAACATAAAATACTTTTTTGGCGCCAAGAAGTCTACAAAAAACCAAGAAGTTGCAAAAATTAAGCCGCTCTGTTACCGTTAGAAACAACAAGATGAGATTGCTTACCGCCATGAAAATTCTGAAAATCCTTGACCTTCCATTCCATGTGATGGAGATATAGAACGAAAAACGTCACAATCACATGAAGTATGAAATTATGGTTGGACTTTTTGGACCCCTAACTAATAAAAGTCAGAAAACTGGTTCATGCCAAAAACACCAAAACTCATGTGATCGTTCAATCTTCATCCAAACCCGTGAGTTTGGCATCTACAGGACAAATTATGTTATCCACGCCATTAATTACGGTATGCATGTAAATTCTAAACTTCAACAATTACCCAATTTTTCTCACATAATTCACGCAATTAACATTGACCAAATCGAATTTATGTAACTATTCAGTTTCCACTTATGTCTGAATCAAGGGTTAGGCAGTCGATTTCGTGAGCAGGTATGTTCCGTGAAGGCCCAACTGCCTGCTGCCTTTTTTGGTCTATAAATAGCACCCTGCATTCCCCATGCTAACTACACTAACATTGAGCTAAAATGGCATTTGCTATGTTCTCATTAGTAGTGCAGATTGTTTTTCTTACTATTTGGTTCCTTAGCTTACTTTGCTATGGCTTCACATCCCATGATTACTCTGATGCTCTCGAAAAATCAATAATTTTCTTCGAGGGGCAGAGGTCGGGAAAACTGCCTCCTAACCAGGGGATGACATGGAGGGGTGATTCCGGACTGTCAGATGGTTCTGGCTACCATGTATGTGCAGTTAGTTAGGCAACTAGAAGCCTAGAAATATTGTTTCTTTTATGTTTTGTCATTCCTTTAATGTGGCTTAATTGTTGGTTTGTTATTTGGTTTTGGATTTCAGGTGGATTTAGTAGGAGGGTATTATGATGCTGGAGATAATGTCAAGTTTGGGCTTCCCATGGCCTTCACAACCACAATGTTGGCATGGAGTGTCATTGAATTTGGGAGCTCTATGGGGAGCCAGATTGAGAACGCAAAAGATGCTGTTCGTTGGGGCACCGATTACCTTCTCAAAGCAGCTACTGCCACTCCCGGGACCTTATATGTCCAAGTAAACAAAAGAGGATTAAAAACTGCATGACGTGTCTAAATACTGATAGGAAAATTAAAGAAATGTGCAATAACTCATCATTTTCATTCTTGATAATGCAGGTTGGAGATCCTAATAATGATCACAAGTGCTGGGAAAGACCAGAAGACATGGACACACAGCGTAATGTGTACAAGGTAACAACTCAAAATCCGGGGTCTGATGTAGCAGCAGAGACAGCGGCCGCATTGGCTGCGGCTTCAATAATCTTCAAAGAATCCGACCCTTCTTATTCTGATAAATTGCTTAAAACTGCCGTGAAGGTAATTAAACAATCTATATTCTCTTGTAGACATTTTCTCCTTTTCTTTTTCTCCTTTGCTACTATTTACAAGCTCTGATTCTACTGATGCAGGTATTCGACTTTGCAGACAAGTACCGAGGTTCTTATAGTGACTCTTTAAACTCGGCAGTCTGCCCATTTTATTGCTCTTATTCAGGATACCAAGTAAGAAAAATACTATTTCCTTTTTACAAGGAAATACTCACTACCAATTATTACATATTGATTCAAATCTTTCGAATAGGATGAGCTTCTTTGGGGTGCATCATGGATTTATCGAGCCTCACAGAACAGCTTGTACTTAACATACATCCAATCCAATGGCCGAACCATGGGATCAGAAGACGATGACTACTCCTTCAGTTGGGATGACAAGAGAGCTGGAACCAAAGTCCTCCTTTCCCATGTATTTTTTCCTTAAACTCAATTCTTACCCACCCCCCTCCCCAAAAATGACTTTGCGCAATAGGCATCATCAAGAGAAAGCTTTAATTACATTGGTGATTTCAACAGGAATTCTTAACAAAAGACACACAAGAATTTCAAGTATACAAGGGGCATTCAGACAACTACATCTGCTCTTTAGTTCCAGGAACATCTAATTTTCAGGACCAGTATACACCAGGTCAGGATTCCCCTTCTTCCTAATAACATTACCATTCTTTCCAGGACCATCGAAATTGTATAATACCGGTTTTTTTCCAGGAGGACTTCTATACAAGGCAAGTGCAAGCAATCTTCAGTATGTAACCACCACAACTTTCCTCCTCTTGACATACGCTAACTACCTCAGCGCAAACAGAGGAGTTGCAACATGTGGGACTTCAACCATACCTCCAGAAAAGCTCATAGCACAGGCAAAGAAGCAAGTGGACTATATTTTAGGTGATAATCCTGAAAAGATGTCTTACATGGTGGGGTTCGGTGAGAAGTACCCGCAGCATGTTCACCACAGGGGCTCGTCTGTGCCCTCCATTCACCAGCATCCTGATCACATTTCCTGCAATGATGGGTTTCAGTACTTGTATTCTAGTTCACCCAACCCGAATGTGCTGGTCGGAGCCATTGTTGGTGGTCCAGATAACAAGGACAATTTTGCTGATGATAGGAACAATTATCAGCAGTCCGAGCCTACCACATATATCAATGCGCCCTTTGTTGGTGCTCTAGCTTTCTTCTCGAAAAATGTCAGTCCAAATTAGAGGATATAACCATTTTCAAAGAAGTGGAAATATTCTCATGTTGGACCTGCAATAGAATTTAGCAGCATCGTAGATAGTTTGCCTAGGTCATGTTATTAGATGTGATATCACACGTCCGCAAATGAACACTAAGTACCCAGCATAGATGCTTAAAGGGTCTATTCAAATGCCGTCTGATGTGAAAAACTCTTCTAAGATTAAGGTTTGGGTCGTAAGTTTGAAATTTCTCTTCCTGCGGAGGAATCACTGCCTTTCCTTTTCATTCATCCATCCACATTCCATCCTTCTAATTTTGCTTTTTCTCTTTACCTTTGATTTCAATCTATTCCCATCTTCATTTATCTTATCTATTGACATTAATAATAATTAAATAAATAAAAAGCAGCTGATCAAAAAAATAAAAAGCAAGGGCAGGCTGGCGACAATTCCTCCGCCAGTCACAAGGCTTTATGGACTAAATGAAGGAATTTAAAAAAATAAATAAATAAATAAATAATAAAAAACAAAATAATAATAAATAAATAAAACAGAGAGAAGTCAATGGAGTTGATGGATTGCCTGATTGGAGCAGCGTTTTTCGGTGGAGGACGGTACCCTATGTCTTGGCAAGGATCCATCTGTAGGGGGTGTGCGACTCTACTAAGAGGAAACCCATCAATTTTGCTGGCTTATGATGGTGTTGATGATGTTTGTTTTGGCCAAGGCTCGTCACGGATTAATTACATTGAAATCTTTGTCTGAATGTGGAGAGATATGTTAATTTGGTTTGTCTTGAAAACAACAATGATTGGGGACAAATTTGGCATACGGTTTCCATTGCTTTTTTGTGTGAGTATGATTTTAGGGTTTTTGATCCAAGAGCTCCATTAAAACGTCTCTTTTTCAAAAACAGTATATTGTCTCACAGGAGGAAAAAGAGAATATTGAGCTCACCCTGGCTCTTTGAAATAGGGGTACTAATCCACTGAGAATATGATTAATCTAATAATAAGCCCGACTAGTAGTAGTCAGGGGCTATCAGTAACTAATAAGGGATTTTGCTACCCCTGAAATTGGTAAAAACAGTTTTAACTTCTGCATTAGCTTAAGATGCTTATAGTAGTAGTCTTCTACTTTGTAGGATAATCTAGAATTCACATCAACATGTGGGCTTGGCGGGAATAGAAAACATTAGTCGTGTGGCCACCGAATTTTCATTTGCTGAAATGGTGGTGCTTGAATTCTACGGCCAATATTTAGAATTAGGGGTGAATACTTTTTAGTACAGATGAAATATG